TATATATATATATATATATATATATATATGTGTGTGTGTGTGTGTGTGTATATGCATATATATATGTATATATATATATATATATATATATATATGTGTGTGTGTGTGTGTGTGTGTGTGTGTGTGTGTGTGTGTGTGTGTGTGTGTGTATATATATAATATATATATATATATATATATATATATATATATATATATATATATATATATATATACATGTATGTATAAATATAATTGTGTATTTATATATTTGTATATATGTATGTGTGAATCTATGTATGTATATGTACTCTATCTTTTATATATACGCATTCTATATGCAATCTCCTTAGAGGAAAGGAACTCCAAAAATGATTAATCTTTAAGAAATAATCTTCTCAATAAATATAAACCACTCATCATGGTTCATTCATCCCTCTATTTCCAGCATAAGGAGCTTCACCTGACTGATGGTTTTCTTAAGAACAGAAATGTCGTCGACAAGAGACTCATCGTATGGATAATGTTGTTTAGAGGAAGGATAGTCTCAGGAAACTCCGTAGGTTACACTTTTTTTTTTTTAGAAAACTTGAGGAAGATTTTTTTCCTTGCTCCCGCAAAAGTAGTAGTAGAAGTTATAGTAATAGTAGCAGCAATAGTAGTTGTAGTCGTAGTTATTGTTGTTTTGTAGTAGTAGTAGTAACAGCAGCAGCAGCAAGAGTAGAAGCAGTAGTAGTAGTAACAGTAGTAGTAGTATTTGTGGTACTAGTAGCATCAGCATCAGCAGTGACAATAGTAATAATAATAGTTGCAATATCAATATTAGAAACTAAGTAACATCAGTAATAACAGTTGCAGCAGAAGTAGCAGCAGTGGCAGTGGTAAGAGTAAGATCACTAGCAGTAACATTTCTTTCTCACTATCACTATTAATAGTAATGCAGCACAGATTAAAGATCCATATTCATTTCCTAGTGATAACCATTATCAGCCTACACACAAAGAATCAGCCGTAATCAAAACATCTCACCGACCGTGGAGAGCGCTGGACCATTCACCGGTCGATGATGAACTCCTCAGCTGAATTTGTCGCCGGAATCCCAACCCCAGAATCATATCCGCCGGAGCACGTATTCCTGTTTGTCTTCAGGCGTGATCCTACTTTGGATTCAAAGTCATATGAAATGCAAACAAGCACCAGTCGAGTACACGGGAGATCCAGGTGTGGGTCGTCTGTGTGGCAGGGATGGAGTTTGAGGAGAGTTTTTATCTTTTGGGTTTGATTTTTATTTTATCGAGTGTTCATGTATGCTGAGGGTTCGTTGTTTGTTTGTTTATTGGTGTTTCCGTCCTTCCTTCTTTTCTTGTTTCTTTATTATTGTCGTCTGTCTGGCTGCCTTGCCTTGCACTCAGGGGATAATTTAGAAGCAAAATGTAACAGATACTATGGCACACCAAGAGTATCCATTGTAACAAATGGAATCAAACTAAATTATAAAATTATAGATTAAATTAACTTCTGTCTCTGTTTCTGTTTCTCACTACATCTACTATGATGTACAATTACAGGTCAAAAGGTCAAAAGAACGAATTTATCAATATGATATCACCTTTTACTGAGAGTGTTTTTTCTACTAATAATTTCTAAGTGAATATTTGCTATCGATCTCAGTAGAGGAGCTGGAGAAGGTTCTTTTTATCCAATGTGAACCTATTGATAACACTTGCCCAAATTGCGAATTTGCACTACCAGCCTGAATATCCTGCGTTTCTTTGCTTAAGTTGCAGACACACTGTATATGTAGGAAATATCAACCTGCACCCTGAAGACGGATTATCACCTACTGTTGTTGATTAGGAATACTCGGCGAGAACATTTAGCTATGTCGATGTGCGAGCTAACTTTTTGAGCTGCGTAAACATGGGATCTGAGAGAGAGAGAGAGAGTGAGTGAGTGAGTGAGTGAGTGAGAGAGAGAGAGAGAGAGAGAGAGAGAGAGAGAGAGAGAGAGAGAGAGAGAGAGAGAGAGAGAGAGAAAGAAAGAGAGAGATGAGAGAGACATCTCTATTTCACTTGCATTTAGTCTTACTAGCGTTAATCACTAACCATGCTCCTTCTGTCATCTTACTGAGAACCACTGTCCGTAACAGCAATTTCATCTCATTATCACGGTAATGATACACCATGTCACACTTTTCCTTCCATTCCTTCACTGGACACTCACATAATATATTTTATTCTACCATATTAACATTGTTACAGAAAAGAATCTCTCCTCAAATTCAATTGAAACTTAATAAATAAAATAAAATTTATTCATCGCTCCTTCAAACGTGCTAGAGAATCTTACATAAATTATTTCTATGATGCTTAAACCCATCCTTTACTTGCCTATGTACAGGGAGAAGTAATGCGTTCATTCATGCTTCAGTCACGTAGAGAACACTCCTTTGATCTTTTCTTTTGCCCTTGAAGCCGAAGGGTAAGAAAAAACACAAGAGTTTCTTTCCCCTTAATGCCTG